TCGTTGATCGACCCTCATAAATATATATGTTTATATATTCATTTCTTTGTTAAACTTACAGGGTGCATGTTATGATTTAATCTTATATAACGCTGTCCAATATATATCTAAAAATTTAAAGATTTTTATTTAATTATTTGTTTGTAGCGCTAAAATAAAACATAAAAATGTACTATTATTTTAAATATCTCCAATTTCCCCAAACCTCCAATTTCATCAAATCCCTAACTTCCTCAAGCCTAAAACTTCTAAGACGTCCCAACAAGATACTTCCTCAAATTATCATAACGCATTGGTCATAGCGCGGGTCAACAAAGACTTCATTTCTTAGTTAGGAACTAGGCTGAGGTCGAAAAGTCTGCAAATTAGAAACTGCCAAAGCTAAATAGAAGTAAATGGTTGCGGAAGAACAGATAAGATAACACGAAAGCGCACTTCAAAGATTTATTAAGCAAGTCTCTTAGTACTTTATTGGTAATTCCATGCCAAATGTTCTGAGGATCTACATTCACTAGTTTCACCAATTCTAACCCATCATGCCACCTCCACAGTGACGAATCATCCGCATATTCAATTAGTAAGAACGAAGTTTCACTTTCCCTATAACTTTTAATTTGGGAAACAATTTCCTGATGGGATGTTTTCCCGATCCCTAGAAACATAAGTCTAAGGCAAACTGTTATCTTACCTACATAACCACATAAACTGCATTTCTTACCTCATCTTCTTATGCCCATGTAATATTATTCAGTAAGCTTCGATCTTGAAAGGCTAATACTGGGTTGTGTAAAAAAATTATACATCGGTCGCCTCAGACATATACAAAATCTGGTATACAAAAACTCTAGCATCAATCATACTTATTATAAAACCCAGGTTGTGTGTGTGTGTGTGTGTGTGTGTGTGTGTGTGTGTGTGTGTGTGTGTGTGTGTGTGTGTGTACGTTTATATATTGGAACGGATTTCCTAAATTTTTCAACCGATTTCAGAAAAACTTCACTGGACTACTTAAAATTATCTTGCGGTGGTTCTGACTGCGCCAAAAATTGGAAAAACACAATTGTTTTTACACAAAATCAATTTGAAAACACGATTAAGAGGCATCGCTATCGCGAGAATGAAAGGGGGGACAACTCATATCGAGTTATACTTATTATAAAACCCAGGTTGTGTGTGTGTGTGTGTGTGTGTGTGTCTGTGTGTGTGTGTGTGTTCGTTTATATATGGGATTGGATTTCCTACATTTTTCAGCCGATTTCAACAAAACTTCACTTTTTTTTTGGCTGGTAGTGTTTCTTATTGTCTTACACACTTTTTTCTTTATTTTTACATTCAGAATGCTTTAAAAATTCCATTTACAAGACAACAGTTTATAATAAAATTCTATTCAATCGGTAGACTCATAACGATTGAAAACAATGTTTTTGTTTGAGTTTGGGTTTGACCAATTCATAAAAAAAACAAAAAAACTAAGACATGCGTGTCCGTCAACCTTAAACAATAATCTTTGTCAATTTTATTTTTCAGTCTTTATGATGGTCGATACTTGATCAATCTCTTACTGTTACATCCCCGGGCAACGCCGGGCTCTACTGCTAGTAACTAATATAAACACTAACAACCTCAGCGGTACTAAATGGGGCATTCAGATAAAAAAACACTCAAGATGATGGATAAAAAATAGCAGATCTCAAGAGTACAGATGTTAATAGTAATGGTAACATTAGCCGTATCCTAATAAAGACTTACTGTCGATTAAAATTTATAAAATATTTCTCTTAAAATTATTTTTCGGGTAAATAGTTTTCTTAAATATTTTTTAAAGGATGAGATTTTTGGAGACGATAATGATTTACTAATTAATCCATAGCTGAGGGAATTAAGTGGGTTGATACCATTCCTAAAGTTATTTGCATGTAAGTGAATATATCGACCCAACAGAAATTAGAACTCGGCTCTCTTATTTCGAATTCCGAGTCATTATCCATTGCACCACCCGAAGAGTCAAGGTTACAACCTTTTACACCCTTTCCAGTAATTATGGAGGTTTCCTTCCTAACGTTTTGTTTGGAGTTGTGTGAAATGTCAACATCATAATTATATTATTTTTTTTCTCTTCAGGTTACTTGTGATATCTATTTTAATTGTTGTTGATGTTGAAAGTCCTCAAGTGATGCTGTTTCTGTTATTTGGTAGAGTTCTTTGTGATTATGTAGCACCAGAAAGACAATACAATCGTGAATGCGAACGCTCCGCATAATGAGAGCGGAAAAGTAAAAGCAATGGAAGTAAATATCATGAGAAAAGAAAAATATAATAAAAAGCCACAAAAAAGAATAGATATCGAAGATTAAATGTGACAAATAGTAAACAAGCTTTGGGAGCGAAAAATCAAAAAGTAATGAATAACACAAAAAAGGCAGTCCCTTTCTCAAACGGAAATAAATGAATTTATTTATAACGCTCATTCTATAGTTACTGAAGCCCTAGGCATCAAAACCAGAAAGGGATAATACAAAGCAAAACAACCACCATGGAAAAGTGTGAATATATTACTGAAGAAGTACAGAAAAAAAGAAGAAAAATGTAAAAAATCTTATATATAAAGTACAGTACATGTGTGTGTGTGGGTCCAAGCCATTCCTCTGCTCCTACTGGTCCTATATGAATGATTCATAGCTCATTCAAAAGCACTAGAAAAGTTACGCACAGGGAACGATTTTCGTTGAGCTCAGATTCAGGGTTTCCAGATTATGCTCGGGTAAAAATATATATTAATATATTATATTATCCATTATCGTTGCTTTTCATATTTCAAGGGGAGTAACTCTTATTTTCCTTTTGTATCTAAAATTGCAGGGCATGTTTTATTATAAACTAGCTTAAAGGCCGCCCTATCGGCATATAAGCTAGCTCCTGTGGAGGACTCTTGGTTTGGCCATCACCACAATAGCTAGGGAGGAGTAGATGCGATAAGCATCAATAAAGTACAGAAGATCTCAAAATTGATCACTGCATTTAATCATTGAATCAATGTTTAAGCTTACCTTTTAAAAGTCAACGATAATTCTTCTGCTGCTACTTAATTTAAAGACGATTTGATGTAAGTAGATCTTTATTTTCCGTACAAACAATTTTCTTTCATGGGTGACAGAATAATGGACAATTTACAAGATAAAAATTAATATAGCGTAAAGATAGGAAAATAGAAATTAGAACTAGTTATACATTCAATACTTGAAGAGTTAGAGAAGCACAATAGCTAATTAAGTAAAACCTATATTATGGAATCTATATAAATAAATGCGAAATTTGGGTACAATTATCAAAAGTATTCATGGGTTAAAAACCTCCCACTCTACAGTAATGCATACGCTTAATGCTCAATGTCTGCATTATATATTGTCTACTTCTAGGTGCAATCACTCTTCAGGTTTAACTAATTTGATATTGGTTTAAAAAACGTATATTTCGTTAATTAACTGTCGTTCATTATTGTTTTTTTATTCAAAGATTGTTTTGACCTTCATATCAAAAATAGTTTTGTTTTGGAATAGTGTCTTATACAGTAGAAAAAAAGTGTTCGAAATTTGCATTTTACTTGGCCTTCAACAAGTTGGCAACTATTTGTAAACTTTCCTTAACTATAAAAAGCTAATTTATGAATGAAATATCCATTTGAAATTTTTGTTTCAAGTAGTGAATGTATCTTACTTTACGATAGCGAGCGAGCGAAGCCTGCTGGTACTATATATAAATAAAAAAAAACGAACATTATAATGAAAAGGGAAACAACCAAATTAATATAATCTAATAGAAAATAATGATTAACTAACTTGGCACAGAGAAAATGAACATTTCAAATAAAATAATAAAGCCATTAACAATTAACTGAAAATAACAAAGAATTCGCTTATTTTAAATTTTGTTTTTTAAACTGTTGCAGTGGGAAAATTCATCCATGAAGGAAATGCAGGGAAAGATATTGCTTCTTAATGAGAGAAGTACAATTTTAATGGTGACTACCAAAAAGGTAAGAAAAGTTACCAGCTAACATAACATCTACAAAAATATATCAGCAAATTACAAAAGAAACTTTGAAAAAGAACATTCAGTTAAAAGCACACCGTATCATAAGATTTGAAAACCGGATAAAATTCTTCAGACGCAACAAAGGCTTCAAAGAAGATCTGAAAAAAAAAAGTTTACCGTGAAATTGGAAAAGAAACATTAAGTGTAAACGATGTCCCAGCGGATGAAGAACTAAAAAAAAATGGAGCGACATTTGCAACGAAGAAAAGAAGGAAAATAACTGGAACACAAAAGCAGACTCGATAGAAAGGTTAACATCAATGTAGACTGATATCGATATACAAAACTTGAGAGGATATCTCCATGAACCTAAAACGAATAGATAAGTGGAAATCAACTGACATAGACAAAGTGCCAAGCTATTGGTTCCATCAGATATCCTTTATACATAAAATAATGGTAAAAAGTTCTCACATAAATCTTGACAGTACCTGAAAAATACCCGTCTGGTTGTATGGGAGGGGTGGCTTACACCCGAGTTAAAAAAAAAACAAACAAAAAACAACAAAAATTCTGATGCTTAAAATTCTAATATATAACCTCTTACCATTTAGAAAATTTTAAAATCACTACTTAGAAATTATTTGTATTTAAAAGAAAACAAAAACATCTTGGTTTTAGAATGCCAATAATAGAAACAAGATCCATGTTCTAACGATTGATTTGTTTTTTACAGTTTATCAACCTTTTGTAGGTTATTTAAAGCCAGAAAATACTTTTTAGACTATGAGATGGAGAAAAATGAAGATTTACTAATTAGCCCATAGTTAGGAAAATGAAATAGATTCATATCATTCACAAAGGTATTTGCGCGTAAGTGAATATAACGAACCCAACTGCAATTGGATCTCGGCTCTCTGATTTCTAATTCCAAGACATTATCCATTACACCACCCGCAGATTCAAGGTTACAGCACCTGGTATTTCCCGAAGGTCACCCATCTAGGTACTGACCAAGCTCGAAGTGAGTTAACTTCGTTGATCATACGAGAATCGGTGTTTCAACGTGATACGACCGCAAGCCTCTTTGCGCTGCGATGAAACTTATCGAAGTATTCTTTTGTTTGTTTGCATGTTTTGTTTGTTTAACGGCATATGAACTCATTCGGGGTCATTTAATTCTCTTGGGAGCATTAGGAATTTCTTTTACAAAAATGGTACTATCTTTTTTTTAAATATAAATATCTATTGCTGGGAATATTTTTTTCCTTACTGTTGTACAGGGAATTGGGTACAGGCAAGCTAGTAATTCCCGAAGCCAGCCCCAGGTATATCTTTGTGCTCACTATATATATATATATATATATATATATATATATATATATATATATATATATATATATTCACACTGATGTTGTTAGTCCACATAGGCGATAGGGGTGTGGGACATTCAATTACAACACTTACAATAATGTATTTCTGGTAACATATATATAATATATATATATATATATATATATATATATATATATTATTTTTCCCAAAAACGCATTGCTGGTAATTGTTTTACTATGACAATATATTGCTGACACCTATAGAGATGTATTTCTACTTAGATAGACTTTTGAGGACAATAGTCCGAATAATGTAAATATTATATTGGACTGGATCGATCATAGGACCCTGGAAATTTTAGTCTTCACAATATAAGAAATATTCTTTTTCAAGCAAAGTATGTAAATGATTCATACTAACCACACACTAATGCCCATAAAAAGCTTATTAAAAAATAAATAAATGAGCAATAAGTGCTGGATTTTCCAATGAGACTCACTTTGTTCCCATTACTTTTTAGTTTTGTTACTTATTCCACTCAACATAATAACTGCGTTAAATTAGAGGCAGTGGAAATAAATATCATGAAAAAAAATGGGAAATTGCAAAGGAAATAAAAGAAATCTTACAAACCGCCAAAATATCAAAGATCAAACACGAAAGGCATAAAAAATCAGCCTTAGAAACAGCAAACAAAGCAATCACAAAGCAAAAACTTATGCAGAATGTTTCCCTAACGGAAATAAATGAACTTATGTTGCTGCCTCTGTAGTCAGTGACCCCCTGAGCAAAGAAACCTAAAAGAAGTGTGCGGTTGTAAGGGTGAGGGCTAGCAGAACAAAGCAAAACAGCTATCGTTGAAAAGACAAATTGAAAACTCAATTCACAAAATCGGAAGCGAGATTTCAACACTTTCAGAAAAAAAGAAAGCGAGCCGTGTGTAGGCAAAGAGAAATTTTCTCACTGGAAAACGCAACAGCCAAAACATAAAAATGATATAGCAAGAGTCATTTAAAAGCTTAAGAAACAGTTGCTGGCTAAATGACAAAACATGAAACGGTACGAAAAGACAAATGATCTTTCACCACAAGAAATCTACAAATAAAAGACAGAAAATAGCTAACAGGAACTAAGAAAGAAGAAAATTGAAATCTGCGAAACATCTGAAAATATTTCTAGGTTAACATCAGGTAAAAGTAGAAACACCATAATGGAAATGCTGAGTGAATAAAACAAATTGAGAAAGAAAAATCGACAGACAGATGAAGGAGAATGGCTAGCTATTGATTTAAAAATACATTGACAATAATTCATAAGACAAGACAATGGAAGGCGCAGTGAATGATACAATAGCAAATTTCTAGTTAAAAAGCTTACCAGAACTACACAAATACGTGGCTATTAAAGAAGCATAGAAATCCTTTTACCTTCTTTCCCAAAAAAAAAAAATATATATATATATATATATATATATATATATATATATATATATATAGTTTTAACATCCAATATAACAAATAGTATCTACAAAGACGTCTCATAAACTTTTTCACAAACTCATAAACGTACAACTGATTATATATATATATATATATATATATATATATATATGTATATATATATATCAATTGATAATCAGTAGGATAATTCGAAGTAGGACATTAATCCAGTGAGAGCTCAATGTAAGAACAGAGCAATATAATAAGTACAGACGATCTTTAAAAATACATTCGTCTCGACTCGACTCGTCTGTACTTATTATAATATATATATGTACACACACACGCATATATATATATATATATATATATATATATATATATATATATATATATATATATATATATATATGTATGTATAAGGATTTCTAGCCGAAAAAGGATAACTGGATAACACATGAAAAGAAAAAAATAAAAAAAAAAACTGTAAAACTTCAAAGTTAAAAAATATACATAAATACGGCCGAAGCTTAGTGATAGAATGTAGAACTATCCGTCAAGAGCAAGTTTATTCTGGATTTTGATATTATTATTGAGTGAGGTCAAAGACCAAAAAACGGAATGTATTTGTTATTGGCATGACACTTCCTGATGATTTTAATGTATCTTTGAAGATCTTCAACTATCAAAATATAAGTATCTTGAAGTGGAAATCTAAAAAATGTGACACGTTAGAACATGACTAATTCCAGCTGACACATTGCGAAGTGAAAATGTCATGAAGTCATTTCTAACTTAATGTCTGTGGTTGGGAGCCGGAAGGAAATGTGTATCCAGAAGAAATGCAAGGAAATAATAATAATAATAATAATAATAATCTTCATTATATTTCGATTTCTGCTATGGTCTCACTCCTTACCAAGTCTGTGGGAAGACCTAAGGCAGGTAGTGGTGTGTTGTTATGGCTACATTTCATGATTTGTTTTTCTAACTCCCATAACACCACTAGTGTTACATTGACAAAGTTCTTCTTAGTGTGTCGGCTGTACTTATCAAGACATTTTTTGATTTTCTCTTAAGCTCGGATTTTCTGTGATTTTTTTCAATGTGTTGTTGTGTTCCTATTTTATCATTCCTAGCGCACCAATTATGATTGGTACTATACTTGTTTTCAGTGTCCACAATTTTCTCTATTTCGATTTCCAGGTTTTGTACTTTGATAGTTTTTCAAATTCCATGGTTGCTATGTTACATTCCGCTGGGCAAGCCATATCAGTGAGTAGGCAAGTTTTTTTTTTTTTTTTTTTTTTTCATTTCGGTTCTTGACAATTATGTCCGGCCTATTTGCTTCAGTAATCCGGACTGCAAAGATGGTGTAATCCCATAGAATTATGATGTCTTCTATTTCTGTAACCGGTGCAAGGTGATGTCTATACCAGTGTTTGTTAAGATCTTTTCCAAACGGTTTGCACATTGTCCACTGTAAGTATTGCGTCACTCTATCATGACGATTTTTATATTCATTTGGCGCATCTTTATTAGATGGTCTATGGTTTCCTGATATTTGTCACATATTCTACATTTTGGATCCACATTATTATGTATGATATTCGCTTTCAAAGACGCAGGTCTTGCGCTGCAAGAATAAAGCCTTTCGTTTCTGACTTTAATCCAGATGCTCCTAACCTTCTAAAAATATTAAGAGTATCAACATCGGCTTTATTAGCACGTTGTGGATTTTGGTCATGCAAAGGTTTATCCTGCCAGCATTGTTTCATCAGCTGAATAGCTTTATACTTGGCTTTTTTATCATTTTTATGCAACAGTTGGTTCTAGGGATTTGTTTTCTTTTTCTACTGAATCTACTAAATGTAAATCTTGTTTATATTTACAAACTTCTTTCATGATTGGATATTTTTCTCTTTTCGTGTTTCTTATTAATTGTATCATCCAGTCCTTTGTTGTTTTCATGTTGGTTGGTGTTGTGACCAAGTAATTGTTTAGGAAATAAAAAAAAACAAGAGGTTACAGATAAATGGTGTATTGAACAGTAAATACAACAGAAGTGTGTTACACGACTTGGGAATGTGTGTCGGTTGACCAGCGTTCAGATCATATCACTACCCCCCACCGAGGCTTACTTTTCCTTCTAACTTTATAGTAAGTGAAATAGTGGAACTAGAAAAGTCTACCCCAGTGAGCGAAATAGAGTGTTCAGTTCGACAATCCAACCACCTGAAAAAAAGCCGGAGCATACAACGGCCGAAACGTTGTAATAATTATGACGAGAAAAATGAGGACAATATTCCGAATAATCTAAAGAGTGTACATAATACCTCATCTCAGAAATATAGACAGAAAATATTTTTTTCATTTTTTTTATTCACTTGCATTTACATCAAGGTACTTATAAGCTTCTTCTTGCTCTAAACCTTTGATAATAGAGGAGAATTCTTGTCCTGATCCTCGTAAAATTGCGCTTTAGCACATTTATTCAAAAAGAATTCCATTCCAATTTCATCAGCAAAACATTTTACCGTTTTCAAGAGACCTTCCATCTCACTGTCATTCCTAGCATACAACTTTGTCATCCATATAGATGGCGTATTTTCTTTTGAGGTAACTTATAGCCATATTCCGTCCTGCTAAGTTCGCTGGTTAATGACCTTAGGGATATACAAAATAGCAAGGGAGACAAAGAGTAACTTTGATATATTCCTCTGTTGATATTTATTTCACCTGACTTCATTTATATGTTGAAATGTTGTTTTCTATATCTACATACTTTGTTTAAAGAAATTGATGACAACGGGTGATCCGGGAATGGTGTACCCTATCGAATGCCTTACGGTAATTTATCCAGGCAGTACTGAGATTTTTCTTTGTACTGAAGCATCTTTTCAAGATCATCCTATTAATTATTAAATTGTTTTTACATCCATAAGATCCAAGTCGGCATTCTTTTTGTTCAAGAGGTACTATGTCACATTTTTCTAAGAAAAAATATCTGTTATGTTAGAATAAATGTCAACAGTTTGTAAGTAGTGGGAAGATATGTAATTGGTATGTAGACTTTGGAGACATTTGTGTCACCATCTTGTGATAAAGAGAGTTATTACTTCGGTTACACTTGTTGGCTTTTAGTAGGATCATTGACAATTTCTTGAACTTCTTTGGTTAGCTTTTCCAGAATTTAGGAATTTTAGCTATTCCTAGCTCTTTCCATTTGTGTGCTTTTTTCACTGTCCATTCAACATCGTCTTCTGTGATTCACGCCTATGTTTGTTCTGGTTTATTTTTCATCTCT